CGGTTTGCGTACCCTTTTTTCCTTTTCTTTCTATCCTTTTTGAGTTGTTCTTTCTCTTGTCTTTTCTTTTGGGTTTTGTGTATGTGATAGCTGCTAGTTTGGTTCATTATGTGAAATTGTTTTGTCCCTGTATTTGACTTCCTGCTTTAAGTTGAAGCAATGAGGTCATTGCCTCATTTTAAGTGTGGGGGAGTCTATTTGGATTTTGCATGCTTATGTGGTGGACCGGTCTAGTTTTAGGGTTTTGTGATATTGAGCATGATATTGGTGGATTATATGATTTGTTGATGAATGTTTGGTGAAATTGGGAAGTTGTGATGATGGTTGTGTTGATCATTGCCTCGATATTTGCTTGATTGCTTTGAGTGGCATCTATTTGCGTTATGAGGTTTTGATCCTTACTCTTCTTTCTTGTGAGATATTGGTCATATTCTTGAATGATAGAACTCGCCTTGAGTTTGTTTGAAATGAATCGATTAGAGTTTGAAATTGCGAAAGTGATTGAGGCGTTTTGTTTGATTAGCTCTCTTTAGCCTTGTTCTTTGATCCTAAACGTTATTATCCCTAGTAGCCCATTTGAGCCTTGAGCCTTTTCTTGTCACCTATGCATAAAATGTATTTTGTTGACTGATTTTGTGATGGTTGGTGATAATGGTATCATTGTTGAATGAGGTGAATTGGAGTTGGATTTCTATTGCTTGACCTAAAAATATTTTAATTATCAAAATAAAATAAAAAAAAAAAAAAAAAATTGGTCAAGTAATGTTGCAATTTGATTAGAGCAGTTAGGTGTTGCTTGTGGAGTTGTTTGGTGGATGGTAAATGTGCTATATTGTTTATTTCGGTGAGTAGCGGGCATTCGAGTAGTCTATTACTCGAGAACTTTGATTGATTATTTGAGCTTCGTATCCATATATATATCCTACCTTTACCTTAGCCCACATTACAACCCGTGAAGCCCTCTTGATTCGCACCTTTTGAGCTTTGATTGTTTTCAAGTAATTTAAACGATTGGCAAGCATATGTTGAAACTTGAATATCGACCAATCTTGAGCATATTCATGTAAGAAAATGAGTGAGGCTTATATTGCAATGTATATGTTTGAGAGTTTGTCATTTCAAGGCCAAGTTGATATTTGAAGCATATGGTCGTACGGTCGTTGAAATTCGACCCGATGGAGTTGGGCATTTTGAGGCTATTCTTATTTGAAACCATATTCATGCTCGTGTCTTGTTTTCTTTTCTTTTCTTTTTGTTCGGGACGAACAAAGGTTTAAGTATGTGGGAGTTGTTTGTCCCATTTTTGTTGCGTTTTCCGTATTTGTTTTACCCTTCTTTTGCCCCCATCTTAGGTCTTGTCTTTCGCTTTTAGTGTGTTTTATGTTTTGTTGTGTGATTTCCTTCAGTTGGTCCTTTTCTGTGTTTTTCGTGTATTTTTCCAGTTTTCTTTCGTTTTTGGTGTGCAGGTTGAAAGCCTCGGGAGGACCGGATTTCATGCAAAAATTGGCCATGCGAGCGTAATTATTTGGAGCGTTTCGTTGGCGATACATAGGAGAAAACGAAATTAAATTCCGAGTCCAGATGAACGTAAACGAGCCCAGGACACGAAGAAGTGCAAAGTGGTCATCAGCCTGCCCAGGCCCAGCGCCACGTGCACGCCGCGCCGTGCAAGGTGCCGCGATCCGGACAGAGCCTCGCTCCTTCCCAAACATCGCGCACCTCGCGCTGCGACAACCAGCGCGCCGCGACACCAGCCCCTCGCCGCGCCGCGGTGAATCCCCCGCGCCGTGAAGACCGACCCCCCGCGCCGTTGAGAAGTCGTAGACCCAGGCTTGCATGAGATAGATAATTTCGTAACTGAATTATCTATGGGTTGAGATTGAAATACGTGTTTGTCGATGACCCGTCCTTTGTTACAAAAAGTTATTGGGATTGGGATAATTGGCCTGTATTGTATACCCGAGCTTGTTCGTCTATGTTCAATCCCTTGTTACGAAGAGTTATTGGGAGCGAACCTCTAGATGTTTAAGCGAGAGTGTCAATATCGAACCAAACGATTAATTGCCCGGCTTTGCTAGAACTAGAATTAATTATCCCCAATTCCCTAGCTTCTCCATCTTTGTTCCGTTCACTTTTTTTAGGTAGATTATTGCTTCTTATTACTTCTTAGCTAGTAATTATTCAAGACCCTTATTTGATTAGAGTGTTTAGGATTTTGTTTTCTTTTTATGTGTTATCATTACCAAAGCTAAATTCCGAATCGTCTTCCTCGAGAGATCGACCCGGGAAACGAATCCTTGATTCGGTACTCGGTAAAATATAACAATTTGTACACAACAAGCCATCCTAAGTATTTTTGAGTCTGGGCAATTACTTAAAAATTTGAACCATACAGTTATATCATTGATACCTAAATGTCATAATCCAGAGGGGTTGGGGAACTACAGACCCATCAGCTTGTATGGGGTCATATATAAAATTATATCAAAAAATTCTCTCCAACAGATTGAAGCCTCATCTTAGTCATTGTATAAGTGTGAATCAGTCAGCTTTTGTTAAGGATAGGCAGCTCTTGGACAATGTTATTATTGCACAAGAGGTCATCTACTTTTTGAACAGACATAGAACTGGTAAACTAAAATTCATGGCAGTAAAACTTGACGTGGAGAAGGCTTTTGACAGGGTCGAGTGGAATTGCATCAAATTAATTCTGTTAAATTTGGATTCCACAAGACTTTTGTTAAATGGGTGCTTGCATGCATTTCTTCCACTGTTTTTTCTTTTAATGTTAATGGGGAGCTTAAAGGTTTTGTCACTGCCTCAAGAGGAATAAGGCAAGGAGATCAACTTTCTCCTTACCTCTTCATTCTTGTATCTGAGGTTCTTTCGAGACTGCTGAACCTAGAAGAAGACCAGGGCAGATTTGCAGGGTTGAAAATATCTAAGGAGGGACCTGTTCTAATCCATCTTCTATTTGCAGATGATGCTTTAATCTTCAGTAGAGCTGATGTACATCAAGCATAAGCTTTGTTAAATGTGCTTCACAGATACCAAAGGTTCACAGGGCAAAAAGTAAACCTTGCTAAATCTTCTATCATTTTTAGCAGGAACACAACAATAGAAATAAAAAATAATGTATGTCAAGTCCTGCATGGAGTTCAGATTCAAAATTCCACCAGATATCTTGGGCTGTCACTAGGCATTAGGAAATAAAAAAGAGAGTGTTTTAATTTTGTGATTGATGTTGTCAGGTCAAAAATTGTGAACTGGAAAAATAGAGTTTTATCAAATGCAGGCAAAGAAATATTACTCAAATCTGTCATAAATGTTATGCCTATCTTTACCATGTCTTGTTTTTGTCTCCCCAAAGGAATATGCCAGGTGATCCAAAGTTTAAGTGCTTCTTTCTGGTGGAGTCAAGGAGATGATCAAAAACCAGGCATACACTGGAAGAACTGGCAATCACTTACCATTCCCAAAAGAGATGGTGGACTGGGGTTTCATGACATTATCCTATTTAATGAAGCTCTAATTTTAAAGCAAATTTGGAGAGTGGCCACCAAACCAAAACTGTTGATGAGTAAAATCTTAAAGGGCAGATACTTTCCAAAAGGATCAATCCTCCAAGCAGGTTCATCTTGCAGTGCTTCATGGATGTGGAGGAGTTGGATGAAAGTGCTTAACAAGCACATGATAGCTTTCAAGAAGACAGTCAGAAATGGCCAAACTACTAAAATCTGGCAAGAACCCTGAATACCAAATCACTTCCCAGGTTTTCCAACTCCAAGATCAGAGAATGCTTCCAACATGACTTGGGTGCCTGAACTCATAACATAAGATGGCAGAAATTGGAAAGAGGATCAATTAAGAGCCACATTCAATGCAAATGAGGTGGTGAACATTCTAAGCATCACCTCACTAAATCCTACTCAGCATGATAAATGGAGATGGTCCTATGACAGAAAAGGAGAATTCTCAGTGGCAGCAACATATTCCCATCTAATCCAGAGAAAGTTGAGAGAATTGGACATAGCAGAGAGCAGTTCAAACAGAATGCTGAACCAAAAAGCAAGGCAGAGGAGTTGGAAACTGAAAGTTAAAGGTGAACTAAAGCATTTTCTCTGGAAATGTTACACAGGAAAACTGCAGTTAATGTCATCTTACAGACAAGGGGAATTCAAGTGGATCCAATTTGTCAATTATGTGGTGAAGAAATAGAGACAATCGAACATGCCCTGTTAAACTGCAATAGAGCTCAGAGAATATGGAAATTATCAATGGTAAGCTGGGATGGACTGCAGGATCTTCAAGGGGATTTCAGATGTTGGTGGTGGACTGCCTGCTCAATAGATAAAAGGCCAATATTAGAGGAGAGACTCCAGCTGTCCACCTATATTTTATGATGGCTCTGGAAGTCCTAGAATTTATTCATCTTTCAACAATCACTAATGCCAGAAAGGGAAGTAGTCAAAGCAGCAAGGAATGAATGGATCGAATTTGCACAAGCAAATGAACAGAGGAAGGAGTAATAGATCTAAATTATGGCTAGGTCTCAAGAGAGTTCAGTGGCCTTCATTTTGTGTATTTCTTCCTTTGTAATGTCTGATCAGGCTGGAATTTTGAAATATATCTAAGGTTCTAGTATTGCTAGCTTAGATGTATGGCATTTGTAAAGTATTGCTAAAGGTTGTATTTAGGCCACTCTTTGAGGTGGTTCTCATTGGAACAATTGGGACTACTTAGTCTCACGGCTTGTAATATTTTGTGTAGAAATAAAATTTATCGTTTCGGCAAAAAAAAATAAAAAAACACTCACCTGTTTGTAATGGGATTGAACACTGGAAACGTTAAAACTCGGTATTCCATATCCATTGCTCACATTACAAATCACAAATTGGGTCAATTTTTATTTATTTATTTATTTATTTATTATTTTTTTTTTATTATTATTATTTTTTTTTTACGCATGTCTAAGAGTATTAAAATGTGGATCCACCCAGTGCAATCAAACAAGATATATTACCATTACTGCAGTTGATGAGTTTGTCCCAAAAACAAACATTTCGAAGACATCCTTTCCATCACATGTAAACGTGCATTAATCACCAAAGTTAGATAGATGAAAACAAAAGCACAAAAGTCTTGACAACCTGGTTCAGAAGCACAAAAGAAAGAAAGAAAAAAAAAATTACTGTCATTTCATATAGGGAACTACATAACAAGACAGGCAATCCAGCCAAAACAAATTTATGATCTTCCACGGCCCCTGAAACCACCACCACGAGAACCACCTCTAAAACCGCCACTACCTCTGCCGCCTCTCGGAGGACCCCTTCCACCACGGAACCCACCACGACTGCCTCTTCCACCACCTCTTACACCGCCACGTCCTCCCCCTCTACCAGATTGCTGTTGTCCCCTGCAAGAGTAGGTTCACATTCAAAAGCATAAGTCAAATGTGCAAATCAAAATCTAGTTTAAGGTTAAAAATACCAAGGTTATACAAATTGTCTCAATGTTAATTTGATTTATATCACTACACTGTTGCACACAAAAACATCAGCTTATACTAACAAATATCGAGAGAATGCATCCAACTATCACCACAATTTATCAAACTCTTAACAGCACCAAGAATCTGACAAAGAGGGTTCCAGGGATCAAAAGTCATATGATACACAGCCAAATTTCAAAATATGCTAATCTATAGATCCACATTCCAGGCCAAGTGACCCACATGTAAGCAAATCTCAAGAAAACATGCAAAGTAATAGAGTAGAGGGTAGAGAAAAATTCAAAGTAGGAAGCATAAGTTAAACAAGATATATTCAAATCCCCCTAAACAAAAATCTTTTTCAACCTTTCAAGGCAAGCATAAACACTACAACAAACAAATAAATGAATTGATATTTGTTATACATAATCCAGAACAGCAAGTAAGGCATATCATTAATCAGGTAAGGGGAGCTTTCAGGCAGACCATAAATCTAGTCCAAATAATATAAAATAAAACAAGACCTGCAGACAGAAAACATACTTTGGCTGGGGAAGAAATCTGGCAAGGGGCAAAAGCTTAGCAGGGTCAATGAAGAATTTATCTCCAGGAGTATACGATGTAGCCACAATGCCCTCCATCATCTTAATCGAGAAGTACTACAATATCACAGCAGAAGATCAACACAAGAAAAATTTAAACTAATTTATTTTTCAATCACGAGCCTAAATATCAGTATATCACCCATAATGTACTTACCGATTCATTGATGGGCCCGAAAATCTCATCCACTTTACCAATCTGTGTCTTGTTCTGGAGGTAAATCGGAGCATTGAAGTATGGTATTTTCTCATTTGTGAGCTTCGTGACAGCATCACCCTCACAGGCATGAAGAAATGTAGCAACCTCTGCACATAGATTGAACAATATATATATAAAAAAGAATCAATTTTGTAGATAGTTTGAGAGAGAGAGAGAGAGAGAGAGAGACCAACGACTTCAGATGGAGGGCCTTCGTCGCGAAAAGATCCACGGCCGCCGCCGCCGCCGCCGCCGCCACCGAAACGGCCGCCACGACCGCCTCCGTCTCTACCACCCCTGAATCCGCCGCCACGACCACCCCCGTCTCTACCGCCCCTGAAGCCGCCGCCGCCACGTCCCCTCGGAGGTCTCATGTTGTCTTCAGAGTTGTGACTACTGATAAGGGTTTAGGGTTTTTGAGAATAGGAGAAATGAGTACCTGATATAAATGGCCGATGATTCTGGTTCAAGTGGCCGCTTATTTGGGCTTCGCCCCATGATTTGGGCCTCTTCAAGACTGGAATTTGTAAAGTGCCCTGTAATGGACCAGCTCCAATTTTGTACAGTTTCCAATAATGGGCCATGTAAATAGAAGTTTACATGGCTAAGAAAATCAAGAATTTACAATCCATGTTAATGAAACTAGTGCGTAGCCCGTGCGATACACGGATAAACTATATTAAATAATAATTATAAATTAATGAGTGAATAACTAATATTAAATAATAATTATAAATTAAAGAAGTGGAGTTAACATGTGATATAATTTACAATATAAAATTATCTTGTCTAAGATAACATAAAACATGTACGTTTAAAATATTAAAAACACCTAAAATATTATAAAATATATATAAGATTATGTAAAATATTATATCTTATTCTTAAAAAATTTGAATTCACTTAATCTTTAGTTTTCAAATTCCATACAAAATGGAACTCTTTCCAACCAATAAATGTCATATAAAATATTAACTCTTATGATTATTACATATCGAAAAAATTGTGTAGAGAATATAGAATGTTAAATTTTTTCATTTTAGGTAATTTTAAATATTATGTGTGTATGTTGTTGTACGACAGTTTTAAATATTTATTTCATAGAATGTAAAACTGTTATTTTATTATTTTTTTCAGATGTTGAATTTGAAAGTTACCAGAATTCTTGGTCATAAGAAGTTAAAATGTACAATTTCCTTTGTTCTGCATGTGCATAGTAAAATCTATATATATCTCATCTAGATTTTTTGTATTTTTACGGCAAAAAACCTCCTTAATTTAAGGAGTCATTTAATTCTAGCTGTCCATATCTTAACAGAATTCTTGGTNCTTAGTAGGGTGGAGGGTTAAGGCCGAACCCCTAACATGTATATAAAAATGCCCTAAATGGGCTGAAAAGTCACAAAGCTACAAGTCTAATGTCTGATATACATCAAGTCAAATGAAAAACCAAAAAACAAAACAAGAGAAAATACGGGGAAAAGCTGACAACTGTAGCGAGAAATACAAGAATGACAAATCCTGGTCCGAGGAGAGTCCCGGCAAAAAAGTCAGCATCCCAGTTTGGCTGATGCGCCAAAAGGTAGGACCGGCTACCCAAATATGAATGAAGGGTATCCTGTCTGGTCCATCCGTATGAGGGTGCGGAGGCGGATAGGAATATCGTCAGGGTAAAGAATGCGTCTCTGGGGGTGGTGGACCCGATGCTAGCGAGAAAGTCAGCTAGCCGGTTCCCCTCGCGGAAGATGTGCGAGATCCGGGAGCGAATCGACTGAAGAGTGACTCTGATACGCATGAGAGGGTGCTGGATCTGCCACGTGTCGTGATGACTAGATGACAAAAGAGTGATGACAGCGGCAGCGTCCAACTCCATCCAAATGTGAGAGGAGATCGAGGCGACAATCTGAAGACCGGTCTGAAGCTCCTGAACCTCCGCGTAACAGCTCGAGGAGGCCCGAAGATGGGCGTCAAACGCGGCAATAAGGGCGCCGCTATGATCCCTAATCAGGCCCACACCTCCTGCAACTCCAGTAAGTCGATCAAAGGCTCCATCGGTGTTTAGCTTGACCCAAGGCGACTCGGGTGTTGTAGCACAATTTGTTTTTAAATTACCGATTATCGAATCGAATGATTCGTTCCCCGGGTCGATCTCTCGAGGAAGGCGGTTTGGAATTCAGCTTTGGTATCGATCACACACAATAAAAAACACTCTAATCAGATAAGAGGTTTGAATAATTATCAACTAAGAAATAATAAAAAACACGAATCTACCTAAAAATATAAATGAAACGATGAAAAGAAGCTAGGGAATCGGGGATAGTTAATTCAAGCCATTTTTGCAAAATCAAGCAATTAATCGTTCGGCTCGAGATTGACGCTTTTTCCTAAACATCTAGCAGTTCGCTCTCAATAACTCTTCGTAACAAGGGATTGAACATAGACGAGCAAGCTCGAGCATACAACACATGTCAATTATCCCATTCCCAATAACTTTTCGTAACAAGGGACGGGTCATCGACAAGCACGTATTTCAATCTAAAACCTATAGACTATTCAATTACGAAGTCATCTATCTCATGCGAGCCTAGGTCTACGACTTCTCCTCTTTCGGTTCTAAAAGTCGCTAATACAATTAGAAGGTGTTTAATCAACTAATCACATACCAATTGCAAGATCGAAGTGTCACTCTTCGATTTTATATCAAATTATCAAGCAAGAATTAATCAACCCTAATTAAAGCAACTCGCACAAGCATGAACAAATTAAAGCCCAATAATAACGAAATCAATCAAGAACAATCATCCCCTATCCCTAGCAATCGGATTTAGCTGAGCAAAATCAATTCAACATTATCAATCATCTCAACCCAAGCAATTATTTTCATCAATTGAATGAAAAGAAGGACTTACGATTGATAAAGAAAATAGAACGTCGAATCTCAAGTACAAGCTTTGTCCAAAGATCAAGAGCAATCAAGGAGAATCTAATATGGATGATGGAGTTTTGGAGTGAAAAGAACGAGTCGATGGAGGTTAGGGTTCTTTTTTCGCGTCCCCAGAAGGGGGAATGATCTTATCTGTCGCAGTAGCATATTTATACCAGTTGTAGGTCACGGCGCGAAGAAAATCTGGCGCAGCGCGAGGGTCACGGGCACCGCGGCGCGGGACTGTGCCGCGGCGCGGAGGGAAGTTCTGGCGCGGCGTGGTGAAGTGTAGCAGCATGGAGGTCGTGCGCTGGGAGTTCTCTGCATGCTCGTGGAGGGCGCCGCGTGCTGGACCGCGGCGCTGGCAAGGGACTGCCGCGGCATTGGAGTGCTTCGCAGCGCGGAAGGGAGTAGAGGCACGGCATGGCAGGGTCTGGCCCCGCGGTGCGGAGCAGTGCAACGGCGTGGAGGTGTCCTGGGCGTGCTTCAGTTGACGCGTGATGCTGGCCGCGGGTTGTGGCATGGCGCGGGACGAACAGGGTACCGCGGCGCGAGGGCGTCCGCGGCATGGCACTGGATGCTGGTTCTCTGAACGGGGTCGCGGGGCACGGCGCGGCGTGACGCAGGCGTGGGGGTTTGGGCAGCCTGCTCGACTTTGCTTCTCGGGTTCGTTCGAGCTCATTTAGACTCGGAATTCGATTCTGTTTTTTTCCTTCTTGTCGCCAACGAAGTCCTCTACAAACTAAACTCACCCAAAATATTTTTCTCCTTCAATTTATAATCGACGAGGCACCTGATCCGCACACCACAAAAGACGAGAAAAATGCAGAAAACTGGGAAACAACTGAAAAACACAGAAAAGACTCAAAATAATGAAAACATGCAATAAAATACAAAACGAACTAAAAACTAACTAAAAGACCTAATATAGGGGAAAAAGAAAGGAAAAATAATGACGAAAAATGCAACAAAAATGGGACTAACATCGGGTTTCAGCCAAACAACAGCTCTGGGACGTGGATGCTGGACAGGCACTAGCGGAGGTGGTGCAAGGCGGTGAGGTGGCGTACAGCCTGTCCAGTCTCTCTGGGTGAGTCTGCCCACAGCGGTGAGGAGGAAGAGATGTCGGTCAACCTGCAAAATAATATAGAAAAACAAAAAAGGATTATCCCTATGCTTCGCATTATTCCTTTATGTCCAGGTGGCCCAAAGGATCAGACAAGGAATAAGGAAGCTCACGTGTCTAATGTGTGTGCGGTGTCTGAAAAAACTCAGAAGCTCAAAGAAAGTATCCGTGGAGGGTAGGGGGATGTGAGTATACCTGGTGTAATGCTCCCACACTCTCCTCACAGTCTCGCTTCTAAAAACATGTGGGTAAAGGTCTTCGTCTGAAAATCGCCGGTCTCAGCACAACAGTAGCAACGTGAGGGGAAGGAGAACCCCCTCGTCTACATCACAGTGTCAATCGGTAGGCGGCACAAAAGGAGGCGCCAAAGGAAAACAGAGATGGTAGGGGTAAGTAGGTCGGTCCAGATGGCCCTGAAGAGAAGGTTAGGCCGGTCGCCCAGCCGTACTTCCCCCAAGACGAGGTCGTAGAGAATGCACTCGAAGATGTAAGTCTTCACCTCATACCGTCCAAACCGCCCTCCGAGATGGGAATCTGCTGGATATCATCTAGCACCTGATCACTAAGGCCCGCTTCAGTACCCAGAATCCTCTCTAGCCTATCCCTATACCATCTCCCCTCCGTCCACAGGTCTTTCACCTGTAGAAAGGGAAGGTGGGTAACCTGTCTAGGAAGTTTAAATGTAACAATTTCCTTTGTTCTACACGTGCATAGTAAAATTTATATATCTCATCCAGAATTTTTTTTTTTTACGGCAAAAAATTCCTTAATTTAAGGAATCATTTATATTTTAGATGTTCACATCTATATAGATTCTTCACAATTTTAAATTTTAAATTTAAAGAGAATTTGAATTAGTGACTTTTCAAAGTAATTTTTAATTTTAAATCAGCCATATCTTTAATTTTACAATGTATTGAAATTACAAAATAAATTTTTAAATTTTAAATCAACTGTAATTGGAAAAATAAAAACTACAATTGTAATAAGTCGTCATATTAAATCAGCCGTAAATGAAAAAATAAAAACTACAATTGTGTTACACGATTTTATGTAAAAAAAAATAAAAATTTTACCATTTAAATATTAAATCAGCACTAATTATTTTTTATTAAAAAATTAAAGATGCCAAGCAAGACAATTTAATTGTCCGACAGCATAGGGTAATATTCGTGTTTCTTTTAATAAGCACGCTATTTTGAAGAACAGAATAACAACTGCCATAATTTAAAGGCAGCATTAAATGCTGCCCGATTTTTTCTAAAACAAAATAAAAAGTTACTAATATTGGAATGTAATTAATGTTGTATGAACTTAACCAAAAATTTGACCTGCTATTTTTTAAAAAAGATTATGCTTATTATATATATAGATAGAGTTGGGATCATATGAGAATGAATCACAATGAAAGAAATAAGAATAAAGCTGGATCATTGGATCCACTACATCAATGGTCACGATGAAGTCAAAATTAATTAAAAATAATCAATCATCAATGGCATTTTGGTAATTATTTGATCATAGTGTGGTCAAATATGTGTATTTAACCAATAATTAAGGGTATGTTGGTCAATACACATATATCTATGTGGGGCCCACTCACCATTAATCACATGTTTTATCTTTCATCGCATTCAATCTTCCTTACCCGATTTCAGATCTACACACACACACACACCCCACACACGGCGGCTGAAGTTGGAGCTCCGCCGGAAACAGTAAACACCTGTGATATCCTGGAGAAAGATGACGTCCTCGGCGACCAGTCGTCGTCTTTGTAAGCTTCGATGGACGCGCAGGTGTCCAAGGCGGCGGTTCTTCATCAGAGTGCATAGGTGACGGAGATATCCAGTAGGATGATGATGGTCTGAGTGGTGGTGCGTTTATGTCCGTGCAGGGTGCTGAGGTTGCGTTGGGCGGCGGACTGCGTCGGCGAAGGCGGCGACTGGAGAAGGGATGAGGATCTGATGCGATTTGTTATTTTCTCCACCTCGCTGTCATGGTCGTCGTACATCGATTCACGGTGGACGCGATGACGGCAGCCAGAAATTGCATCGAAAATCGGGCGACGGTGGTCGGCGGCGGCAGAGATGTTGGGCTTGAGAAATGAGATTGCAACTTTTATTTTTAGGGGCATAAAGTTGTAAATTTGATAATTCTCAATGACTTGATTGCAATTTCAGATTTTTTAGTATATTTCAATTTAGTTCAGTGGTCAAATCTGTAATTAATGAAACTACAATTAATATTCAATATTTTATTTAATATGTGGTTGATAATAAATAATATGTTATATAAAAATATAAAAAAAATGTCAATAATATTTTTTTATATAGTTTGACAGACCGGTTATTTAAGTAATACAGATAATAAAAAAATAATATCGAACTGAAATAACCGAGTATTTAAAAGCAAAATAGATAATCGAACCGAAATTCAAAATTTCAAATTGAATTTGATAATTGCACAGTATTATTCTGTGCATTGTACATTAATGTCCAATGCATCGCACATTAATGCTAAACGCGTTGCACATTACTGTTTGGTGTATTTGTGAATTTGATATGGTAGGACTTAATAGCAATCTTATAAATTTTATATATTACAATTGGATTAAAGGGTCAAATATACAATTAAATGAATTCTAATTAGTACTTTAACAGGTCAAATATACAATTAAATGAATTCTAATTAGTACTTTAACATGTAATATTTTATTATTTTTAATCTAAAAGTAAATAATATTTTTACTAAAATATAATGTAATAACAATATTTTTTCATATAATTCGGTTATTTCGGTTAAAAATAAAAATAAAAATAATAATAAAATAAATACGACATTGGATTACAAATAATTGAATTATTTTTATATAATAATCGAATTATTTTTATATAATAATCGAAATAATCGTGATTTCAAAGTATAAACAAATAATCGAACCGAAATGTGCAATGCGATAGTCATAAAAGTGCAATTAGTATATCGATAATGTGCATCCGATTGCAAGCATTTTTAATAGTACGATCCACACGAAACTAAATCTGATTTAATTGGTCGATTTATTCGATCGATTAACTAAATAAATCTAAATAATATATGATTTATTATTTATATTATAAAATTATATATTATTTTTCAACGTTATTTAATGTTTAATTTTGAGTTTTGACATTAATTGTGAAGTATGGTAATAAAGTGCAACGTGTTATTTTATAAAGTGCAATAAATTGTTTTACAAAGTGCATCGTACTGATATATAAAGTGCACTGTAAATTTGGTACGCTAGCATGCTCTTTTTTTCTTTCCCTTTTCTTTTTTACATATGATGCGATGAATGTTAAAATATTATGTAGATCCAATTTTTAGAATTATGATTTGTGGTATTTTGGCGAGAGCTAATTACGTCAATTGTGGTTTGTGAAGATAAAGTGCAACGTTTTATTTAATAAAGTGCAACGTGCTATCTTATAATGTGCGGCATAATAATATATAAAGTGCAATACTTCATATGATCCTAGGTAGATTATGTGTATTCGAAAACTAGTTTTAGTAGATATCAATATGCACATAATTACACTAAATGATTAAAATATTTTTATTGTTTATTATTTATTATTTAATATTATTTTTATTTATCATTTTATTTATTAATTAATTTATATGTATAAAATATATATATAAAAAAATATTAACTTTCAATAATTACATATTTGGCCTGAGGACTGAATTGAAATATAATTAAAAGTTATAAATTTGCAATTAGGTCCTTGAACCCTTTCTATTTTTTTAAAAAAAAGACCCAATTCAATTTGAGTTGCAGGTGATCGGGGAGTCTTCTCCTGGCTCGGATCTGCGGACCATTTGACACAATTGGTGACAGGACTCCGACCGTTTGCTCAATCGCACCAAGAACTTCTTGTTCGAGGTTGGCGGAAGGTCGAATTGGTCGCCAATGGAGGTCGCCGGAGTTGGGCGGAGGCGGCGGAGGGCTGTCAGTTATGTCAATGTTGGCCAAGAATGGAAGGTTGTTGGAGTTTAATCGAGACGGCTAATGAAATCACTGCGGCAACGGAGAAAACGACGGAAAAATTTGCAAAGGAGGTTCGGTGGTGCGATGGCGGTGGCGCAGTGACGGCGAAGGCGAAGGCTTGACATAGGCGTAGTCGTGACGGCGGCGGAGTGTGACGACGGCGGCGGCGACTATGGATGCTGAAGGGTCCGCCGTTGAGCGTGTTTATTTTCTCCGGTGAATGTGTGCTCTGTGTGTGTGTGTCGCGTGCGTGTGTGTGTACTGTGTTTAATGTATGTGTGTGTGTGTAGGGGAGAGAGAGAGATAAAGAGAGGTGGGGACAAATTGGGTTTGGGAATGGGAACGGTTTAATTGAGATTTAATTGGGGTGGAGCCCATTAATGTGGTGTATAATTTATTTGTGAGTAAATGTCCATATTACTGTCATGTACCGAGGTACCGGCGACCCAAAGATTATACCTTTAGCCGAAAAAGGGGCGAAATTCGAAGAAAAAGGCGAGATCTTGCAAGAAGAAGAACATAACTCGAAAGTGGAAAGAGAAATTGAATCGGGAATAAAGGAATTAGGGTTTGATATGAAGGCCAAAGAAGAAATCAAGTGTCGTTTGACGGGCCGAGATTAGTCTTATTTCATTTAGGTCATTTTTACTGTTATTTCAATTGGGTCGTTGTGGCTATTTCATTTTCCTATTTTGAAACATTAGTGATATTTTTTTATTTGGGCTTAGAGCTTGTTCTAAGCCCATGTTTATGGTTTAGTGGTGGGACCGCATTGTAGGGTAAAACGAACGTGATTGTCAGAGGAAAAATCAGATTTGGTCTAACAGAAATATCTCTTTCTCTCTTGTTTCTCTCTCTCCTTTCTCGCTCTTCTAATTGTCTTCTTCCTCTTGTTCTATGAAAATTACAGGGAAAATACTATAATTAATTAATAAAATTATACAAACTGCTCGAGCTTAACAATTGGTACACAGAGCCAAATTCTAGCCATGGCGGAGGGAACACGCTTCAAAGACCTGCAAGAGACACGGAAAAAATGGATCAATTCGTACAAACCGAACTACTCAAAAGAGAAGCAGCGGAAATGAAGCTTCATGACCAGATCACACAGTTAAGCTCAGAGTGGAAAGCTGCAAACACAGAGTTGCAAACTCTGCTGCAGGGTAAATACGACCATCACACTAATACCTTAGCTTCTATGCAACTTCAATTGTTGAATATAAAGAAAAGTAAAGGGTCTAGAGTGAGCTCCATTTTGGCCCTTATCAAAACTCAAGGCCCAAAGAATCTTTCAAACTTCAGAAAACCAGATTCTCAACTGAGCAACAACAGCAAGAATCAAACTCACAACAAAACTCAAACCCACACATCATTAGCCCACTTCCTAAATTTGAATTTCCCCGTTTTGATGGGAATAATCCCAGATCATGGATTCTGAAATGCAACAACTACTTCAAAATCATACCCAACATCCCAGACCAATAGAAAGTGAATTTAGCCTCAATGCATCTAGAAGGAAAAGCAGCTCAGTGGTTTCAAAATTTCAGCTACAAGTGTGGGGACATCACTTGGCCACAGTTCTTAGAAGTTATTGCTGCCAGATTTGAAGAACTAAAGGATTCCAAAATCATTGGGGAGTTTAACAAACTGAGGCACACTGGCTCCTATGGGGAGTATGTGGAAAAATTTGAGGAGCTAATGGCTTGTATGTTATGCATGAACCAAGACTATTCTGAGGATTACTTCATTGCAAGTTTCATAAGTGGTCTATCTGAGGAGTTATTGTCTTTTATTCTCATGTTTGAACCAATAACCCTACATCAAACTATTGAACTGGGAAAGAAATAGCTAGCCACCTTGGAAGCCATCACCAAAAGGTTGAAGGGTTTATTGATGGCTTCCAATAAACCCTACACTCCTACCTTTTGATCAACCAAGAAACCTGAAGTGCATTTCAATACCCCAACCAAGAGCAGCCAAAACCCACAGAGAAATCCTATTAAAATGCTTACCACATCTGAGATGGCAGCCAGGAGGGACAAAGGACTTTGCTACAACTGTGATGAAAAATACACATATGGGCACAGGTGCAAACATAGACTTAATTATATGGTGATGACTAAGGAGGAAGAGGTTAGTTATTTGCAAAATGTTGACACCACTGTTGGAAAATGGGAAATATTTGAGAATTTGGAGAGATACAAATGTCCTTGAATTCTATTGCAGGAGAGGATGGACTAACAACTATGAGGGTCTATGGATTGAATGAGGATCACAAATTGCACATTCTCATAGACTCTGGAAGTACCATGAGCTTCATTCAAGCTAGTACTGCAAAGAACTGTTGGGATCTGTGAGGATCTCGTTATGTACAAATCACGAATTCAATAGCAAACGTAAACCTATGCGCAGCGGATCTAAAGGTTTGACGTAGAGAACTTACGGCTTAAAATTTATGTAGATCTGGTTGACCACGAACGGTTGACCGCAATTGATTGACCGCAACACGCGTCTTGGGTTGCACGAACAAGATCAGATCAAAACTGGATCAAACGGATGCAAACAGATCAAAACGAAATTTTGCTGCCAGACACCTTCCGGCGGCGCGTGAGGGCGCGTTAGGCATCGGATTCCGGCGACGTCGGCGGCGATGGAAAGCACTCGTCGAGACGGTCGTCTGGGTATACTGTACGTCTCAATCGGACTTCCGGTTAGTTCTGTAGGTCAAAATCTATTTCGTCTCGGTTTACCTACAGATCTTCTACTGTATTACTCAATACACCCTTCTTCAACTTGTACCAGTGGAGCAACAAGAAGAAGATAAAACTCGATCTAGAGAGAGAGAGACGTGTTTCACGTGAGATGTGAACTCTGTTCTCTTCTCATGAGCTTAATGATGTATATATAGAGTTACAGTAGGGACCCTAAGGAGATTAGGAAAAGGGCTCCTTAATTAATTAGACTAACTGTGGGCCAAACCCACTCCTCTAATTAATTAAATAATATTAATGGGCCACCAACATTAAATTATTGCACTCCCTTTCCCTAGCCCAAATTACATTTGAGACTCCAATAATAATTACTCGATTTACCTCCCCACGTTTAAGATATAATGTCCATTAATTAATTCGATTACTGACAATCAAGAATTAATTAATTTATTATTATTTCACCGAAGCTAGCGCTCGTTCATCACATTCTTATTATGCCGGAATTTAATCCACCTGTAGGGTTTAGCATAACAATCCTTCATGAACTCACTCCGGGGACATCATCAAACTAACGCACATGGTGACCGTAAATATCCTAACAGCACATCCTATATATAATAATATTACCCAAAATAGTAGGAATATTAATCCAGCGAACTGAACCTCACAATCAAAGTAATATATATTATATATATCTGCCTGTTTAATATCTTACGGGTTAAGAGAACGCAGTAATTAACCGAGGCCTAGTTCATTTACGACGATCAGTATAAAATGAACTTCTCCTCTCTGGGATCTTGTTCAATACATAAATGTACTAGTGCAACTAATTAGTCAAGACAAACTGTACAGTTGACACTACAACCGTTCGGATGGGGTGTTCATGTCCATCTAGGTTGTGAACAACTATTCTTGTTCGCAAGTAACTGACAGAGTGATCTTCGGTTCGCCCGATGATGACCCACCCTATCTAAATGCAGAACAACAGAACGTAGAACTTGTTTAATCTAACATAATTCTCATTCATAAAGGGTAACTGTGTAATAACATGCAAAGCCAAGCTTTCAGTATATAACACTAACAAGAACCTCAACCTAAACCTAAGGAAAACTACTCCCATTGTGGTCAGGGTTGCTAATGGGCAGAGGATGCTAAGCACTCAAGTAGCAGAGGGTTTCAATTGGAAAATGCAGGGCCACACCTTCTCTTACCTTCTGAGGGTGCTAGATAATGAAGGCTGTTACATGATTTTGCGTGGAGATTGGTTGAAAATCTGCACACCCATTGAATTGGTTTATGAAAAAATGAGAGCGACAGTCACCTCACAGGGAAGAAGAGTTAAAATACAAGCCATGAAATCAGAGGCCCAATGCAAATTCATTTCAGGGCCATCTTTATATAAATTGATACATGAAGACTGCCAGGAGATGGTGGAGGAAGTATACTGGGTTACTCTTACCAAACCAGATTCTGAAGGAAACTCTCAGGAAGTAGAGGCAGTACTTGAGGAATTCAAAGTGGTCTTTCAGGAACCTAACGGTTTACCACCAAGCAGGGGAGTGGAGCACCAAATCATCCTCAAACCTAACAGTGTGCCTAAACATCAGTTCCCATACAGGTCCTCTCATACTCACAAGGCAGAAATTGAGAAGATTGTGAGGGAAATTGTAACAGCCCAGTCCACCCGCTGTAGAACATTGTCCGCTTTGGGCCCACTCACCCCCACGGTTTTACATTTGGGAGCTAGCTCACCAAAACGCGTCCTCGCTGGCACACCAGTCCGGGTACTGGCTCTGATATCATCTGTAACAACCCAGTCCACCCGCTGTAGAATATTGTCCGCTTTGGGCCCGCTCACCCGCACGGTTTTGCATTTGGGAGCTAGCTCACCAAAACGCGTCCTACAAGTTAAGATATCCACACCCTCTTATAAGGCATGTTTCGTTCTCCTTAACAACCGATGTGGGATATTACAGAAATGCTAGATGCTGGAATCATCCAGGATAGCAGGAGCCCTTTTGCTTCCCCAGTCATTTTAGTCAAAAAGAAAGATACAACCTGGAGACTATGTGTGGACTACAAGTATCTTAATGGATTGACTATTAAGCATGATTATCCAATCCCAGTGATAGATGAGTTGCTGGATGAGTGACAGGGAGCTAAGTACTTTTCCAAAATATACCTCAGGTCTGGTTATTTTCAAATCCTAATGGACAAGGAGCATAGATATCTCACTGCTTTCAGAACTCACAATGGGCACTATGAGTTCTTGGTGATGCCTTTTGGGCTATTCAATGCCCCCAACAATCTTTCAGTCATTAATGAACAAGTTATTCAGGGAATTTCTGAGGAAATGTGTTCTTGTGTTTTTTGATGATATTTGATCTACATCAAGACATTGGATGATCATTTAAGGCACTTGAGGTTGGTCCTATCCATTCTAAGGGACAATAAGCTATATGTAAAGAGAAGCAAGTGTCACTTTGCTCAAGAAAAGATTGAATACTTGGGCCACATTATCACTCACCAAGGAGTGTCCACTGATCCCCTGAAAATAGAGAGCATGGTGAAATGGCCAATACCTAAGACCCTAAAACAACTCAGAGGGTTTTTTGGGATTTACAGGGTATTGCAAGAAGTTTATTAGGGGTTATGGGATCATCAACAAACCCCTAACTGACTTACTCAAGAAGGACAACTTTAAGTGGGGCCCAGAGGCAGAAAAAGCATTTCAGGAGCGTAAACATGCCATGACTAGTGCCCCAGTCCTAGCATTCCCTGACTACAACAAACCTTTTACACTAGAAACAGATGCTAGTGAGAAGGGGGTGGGGCTGTTCTGATGCAACAAGGTCAACCTATTGCTTACATGAGTAAGGTGCTTTGTCCCAAGAATCAAGCACTTTCTATAT